TTTTTTTTTTTTTTTTTTTTTTTTTTTGGTTTTCTGCACCACCATTGTAATACTGTATGTCGATGTAATTCCCACTTGATTTTTTTTCCCATTATTGGTCTGCACCACCATTTTAATTCCTTGTTTTTTTTTTTCCCCCTTGCGTAACTTTTCTATTTTGGTCATTTTATCGTTTTTTTTTATAGTCTCAAGAAGCACTGGTGAATTTCGCCGCAGTTTTTTTTTTTTTTTTACACCGCAGTACTTTTCGATTCGTACAGCCGTCCTTTGGCTCTCTTTTTTTTTTTTTTTTTCATTTGCCGTAATTTGAATCTGAATTTGATTTTTTTTTTTCCCTTTCGAATTGCCCTTCTCCCCGCAACTGCCACGGGCAATGATGCTCTCCCCTCTCTCTCTCTCCCCCCTCCCCCCCCCCCCCTCTCTGTCTCTCTCCCTGCCTTTTCTTTCTCTCTCTCTATTCCCCCCCCCTCCTCTCTCTCTCTCTCTCTCTCTCTCTCTTCCGATCATGTCCTCTTTGTCATTTATCCGCTGTTGTCTACTTTTCTGTTCGTTCCTCTCCGCTACCGTCTTCATCTGAATAGAACGTCTGGTCATTATCCCTGCATCTAGACAGAAAGTTGTCCCAAATACAGCTATAATGACCGGGCGTTCTATTCGGGTCAAGACGGACGTCTCCTCTCTTCTTCTTCTCTGCTTCTACCGTCTTCATCTGAATAGAACGCCTGGTCATTATCCCTGTATCTAGACAGAAAGTTGTCCCAAATACAGCTATAATGACCGGGCTTTCTATTCGGGTCAAGACGGACGTCTCCTCTCTTCTTCTTCTCTGCTTTTATCTTATCTTCTCGCTTCTTTTTCATTTCTTTCTCCTCTCTCTCTCTCTCTCTCCTGCTCTCTCTTCTCAGCTCCTTCCCTTTTACGATTGGCCTTAATTCTTGTATGACGAAGAACAGCGGGGGTCCTTTGTGCGTGTGAAAACTCACCGGCGTTTTTTTTTTTTTTTTTTTTTTCGAGTCTTCGATTTTATTTTTTATTTGATTTTTCCAAGTTTTTTTGTGTGCGTGACTGCAAGCTCCTTCCTTCATCTCGTAAGGCGACACGTGTCATTACGCAGCAGCCAGCTAAATTACGCTTACCATGGGCCTCGCCGCACCATTCACCAAATGTGTGCGAAATGAGAATGAATCTTCTACTAGAACATGGAAAGATACAGCGCCATAATTTTTGTTGTTAGTGCTGTTTCTTTTTTTTTTTTTTTTTTTTTTTTTAAGTGCCGCTTCTGTATGGTGCGGCGAGGCCCCACGATTCTTATTTGAAAAAATACCAATGGTAGCTCGAAATTTAGAGTTTACGGAATGCCTCCTGCTTTTTTTTGAATCAATTGCGCAAATGCCCCTGAAGGTGTCCCCAAACTGAGGGATGCCTCATGTTTTTTTTTTTTTGTTTGAATCCGAATGTAGCCCGAACGTATTTGCGGATACCTTCTTGGCCTGGACTTCATTCAACAATATATTTGATAACTTCTGATGCGATTTTCATTTCTGCCCCTCGTTTAGGAGCTCATCGTCGCAATTTATTTTATTTTATTTTAATTTATTTTTGCACTTCGCCATCTTGGCCTGGACTTCAT